CCCCACGGGTTTTGGTAATGTTGAAACGGATGTCCTAAATTGAAACATTTGCTCTAATGAAACAATCCGAAGGCGAGCAAGCTGAAATAATAAAACGTAATTTGGGAGATTTGTTGTGCGTAGTTGGATTCGTTTTTCAAGAAAATGAGAAGGCCATTTTTATTAAAAAATTATTCCTTCTTCCCAAGACTTGTAGGAAATATTATAATTTTGAGGATGGACGTTACTTCAATTATAGAAACGATTAGACCTTCATTTAAAGATTAAAGTATTTGCAAAAAATTTAGTCAAAATGGATAATTATTGAAATAAAGTTTTTGTAGACGAGTAGCAAATAACAAAGCATTGCATAACCATTCCACACAATGATGTTATGTAGTTGGATTATTTTCCTTGCTTTGCAACCAATATGTATTTTTTTAACAAAGCAGTGAGATAAATAGGTAGCTGCATAGATAGTCGGAGTCCTGAGAAATTGGTATTTGTTAAGATTCAGCGTAGCCTAAAATTTGAATACAGAAGTGAATCTTTTCTGACTGAGATGGATGAGGGTGGGTATGAAGGAATTAAAAACAAAGTGCAAACACGGCGAGGAGAGAGAGAGAGACAATTTAATGAGCTTTCACCACCACTAAATACATTTTATTTTAGACAACCAACTCGAGCAGGGCATGTTCCTCTACCGTCTGTGTGCATGTCCTGTTCCTGCCCGTTGAACACATTAACAAATTATTTCTCTCCAAAAGATAAGAATGGCGCAGATACCTCTGCATACACAACAACGTCAAAACTGTGCCGAGCAAATTGTGTCTTTCTCATAGGACGCAAAAGTTGGGCGTATTACACAATTTACAACAGTTCTATAGCCCACCTTTCCTGGCCTTTCTGGAACCAACCCTAATTTAATTCTCACTCTCCTTCTCGCCATGCCCTTCATTAGGGACATTTCGATCCCACGAAATGAAACACGGCGAGCAGTTGGAAATGGTGAGAGATGCGAAGAAGCAGCCGCTAACGCCACAAACGACTGTGTCGCAGCGCTCCATGTCATTCAATAGAAACGATTTATACATCACATGCACCGTAATGTGTATTACTTTCATTACATTGACGCATCACATCAATCTATCCGGTGGTGAAACTCATTAGACGCGTAAGAGAAAAGGTGGAGACTGGTTCAATGAATTCGACCGCAGCAATGGTGCATATGTATTCCGAGCCGAATTCCATCCACACACGGTCTAAATTTTAGCGCAATAAAATGCGAGCACTATCCGTCCATACCGCACAGTGGAGAAACTACATCTGCCTCATCTCCTCCAAAGAGTCTATAACGTAGCAAACTGAAATCGCAAATCTTTTACTTTTACCTCACTTCGCAGACAGATCCATCCACTCCGCACAATGCAAAATCGGAGCGTGGAGCAAATTGCTAGCCATTAGCGTGTCCCTCCACGATAGGTTGGATTTGGTTAATGGACGACAAAGGCATAATCTAACACCAAAGGGTTGTTAGCAGTAATGAAGCCGTGTGAGTTCTTTCTCCCGATCGTAGCCTCCATACATACACGCTCCTCGTGCAGTCCTACGTCCGTCCGTCCGTATGCACGTGTATATCCGCCGTAAGGCGATATTTCCTCATCTGAGCGCTCGGAAGTACAAAAGCATTGTTGGTTTGGCTGGCTAGCTATGTAGCTGGCTGGCTGTTTGATACTGCACAGCTTGCTCCACTCAAGCGAACCAGGACGAGTCTTGGTGAAATGGTTGTGTGGTGTTTTATGAAGACTCTTATTATTAGCCCACTAACCACAGCAAAAGGAACAAATGAAGCTTTTGTTTCACTCATTTAAGCCATAACCCAATTGGCACGAGAACACGTATGAATAGATCAAACGCGGCAGAGTGAGCAAGCAGCCGCCTAGTATAATTTGATAGAGTGCATCGTATCATATCATTGCCAAATTAATCTATCTATCTTCATGACTATGCTCCAATTTAATTTTCACCATATCGCCCTCCTATCAGACAAATTTAGACCAAAAATAAATCAGGATGGCTACTTTTTGGGGCGAATGAGAAAGAAATGAGGTTCTGCAAATGGCAGAGTATTATTATTTACAGATACAGCACATAATAGCATCATCGCATGATGACTCCCAGGCAATGTTGTATCTTATCACGGCTCGGGAGAGACCATGCTAATCCTCTCCGCTCCAATGGAATACAACAATATTTATGCATATAGCACTTTTCCTCTCGTCGTGGTGGAACTGTGCAGAAAGAGAAAGTTGGAACATATTTCACTATTTTACAGTTATAACGAAAAGTCAGATTTAACCATGCAAGGAACCCGCAAACAAAAACAAGAGACAAAAGCCAACCAGCCAGCTGAATTCTGCTGAATTTGATGCAGACCTGCATTATTATACCCACAAGCACAATACTCGAGACAGCTCTAAATTGAACAGGGGTTTTGCTTTGCTGGTAAATTTGCTTATGGGTGGAACTGTTACGAGGGAGAACCCACATCCACATTGCAATAGCACGTTCCCGTTCAACAATTCGATCACAATTCAATATTGGACGGAACAAAACCAACCCAATTTGATTTCCTCAAAGACTCTTTTCATGGGAGGCACATAAATAGAATGAAATAAATTCCATGCCAGTGGTGAAATGAAAATAGACTTGTGGAATGTTAAATAATCAGATGATGTTTAGGACAATGTCCCCTCCTCGACTACCAGACAACCAAACCAGTTTACGCCACTGACTGGCAGAGTGAATGCGTTTCTTCTGTAGTAGCATTCATACAGGCGCATTTCCTTTTATATTCTTCTTCAGACCTGGGCAAGGTTGCGACGTCAGTTCGTGATTATGATGAACAGAACAATGAATCCTTATCAAGCATGTCAGAGTGGGAGCGGCTTTGGACATGACTATATAGTTTAATCCACATTGTGAAATCAGAGATTTATCTCCACCCGGTGATGAGTAGTAGCACGTACACACGCGCGAGGAGGATGTATGCATACATATGCATGCTGGGCTTTCACTCAAAATTATTTCAAAACACGTATGTATTAAAGCAGACACAAATATTGCATTAGAACAGGAAACCATCATGAACGGCATGCGGAAATGTACCTTCGACGCTGGTGGACGGATTTCCATAAGTCAATTCATCCTCGTGTATGTACATGTAATATTTTATCGAGAATATTCAGCATCATTTGTTCCACATATTTACATACACACATGTCGGCCCGTCTGTATCAAAATTAGCAAAGTCTACTATCGCAGCCAACCAAGCACAAGTTATGCATATGGCAATAATGCTCCATGAGAAGAGATGAAACATGTTTGCCAGTAGTATTATCGACCCTCATGTTTATATCTTTAAGATACATACACAAACAGAGTGCAAAGTGAAAGTGAAATTGCCAATCGGCCCTTATTTCATGTGCTTGGATCGAGTAGAGCAGTGCCCATCTGCAGTTTATTTCGGATGGATTTATGTAATGCCGTGAATTATACATGAACTTCTTGCGTTACTGTTTGTTCTCTCGGCTCAGCTTCTTTTTTCTCCAATACAAACTATCTGCTTCGTGCAAGGGGAACGAGACGACGACGGAGGAAAGAGCACACGAAACTCGCCTGACTAAAGAGATTTTAAATACATTATTACCAATCTCACGAGTCATCCATCATGCTCCAGGCTCAGCTCCATCACTTTCACTCTGTTAATGTTGCCTATGACTGGATGGATGAATGCCAGGTGTACCGTATTTTTGGCAATATTGCAATGCAAAGTATGTACGGATGAATACACGCAGACACACAGGTATTCATACTCAGAATACATGTTTGAATCATATATTATATGGCTAACAGAATACAAAATTGGGGTTAAAATCCTATATAGTTTCTAAGTAATATGAATGAACAACAAATTAACCGCATGAATTTTTGAAAATTGTCTAATACAAACAGTAGTAGAAGTGGATTATGATGATCCAGTCGTATAATTCTGGTTGTGTGTGAAATAAGTTTGGTACATAGATGACGAAATACTTGAAAGGAATCTGGGACAACCAAGACAGATTGCTCACCAGACTGGCTCACAGGTATTTCCCATTTTTCCCAAAGCTTCCTCGTCTCCTCAGCAATATACAATTCAGTCTCACCGTCGTAATATCTTGTTAAATTTTTAGCTAACAATATTGATCTTTGAGGAGCGGCAAGTGAACCATGAGACAAATATTGCTAAAAACCTCTTTCTCCTCAACACGAGGCGGCTGGGTTCCTTATTACGTATACAAATGGGTTACATAAATGTCAAATTTAAACACTTTTTCAGTTAGATTTTGCAAGTAACCCACCTGACGGCCATGTTTAAAAAGTATAATTCGTTGGGAAATCAGAGACTGAAAGTTAGCAGGAGAGAAAGTTAGTCATGCTTGGAATGATGCTTTAAGGACCAGTTCAGGTATAAAAGGATTTCACAAGAGCTTTTGTGAGTGACATTGTAGAAAGTTGAAACCAAATTCTTTGAAACGTAATACTGAGTAACTCCAACTTTGTGATTCGTTACACGTCAGAAACTACAGGCTACAAACTACCAAAACTTATAATTACTGCTTCAAGAATTAATAAGCTCGTCGTTCTTGGAGCTCATGCACGCACACGGGCAAAATTGAGCAACGTATTATTTGGCCATGAAACATGAGCTTTCTACCTTCTTCGTGTCCCAATTGTGATATTCTTTCCACAAAATGGACAATTATGATGATGACGATGAGCACAATCGCGAATGAGTAATAAATAAGCGTTGTGTTCGTTATGGGCTTGCATTCTATATGCACTTATGTAAGATCTCGAAAATAACTTGGCTAATATCCACCGCTTTCCTGCTTGTTCTTCGTTGATCTACCACCGACTGACCAACTTAATCAATGTTTTTGGGGGGAGGGGAGAAACAACTCAGAGTAGAAACTTACTGTTCTTTTTGTATAGAAGTATCTCGAACTGATCCTGATAATGGTTCTCAAGAATTTCGTCAATTCTTGCTCTTGACGCCTCGTCACTGGAAATAAAGTGAAAATATGTAAATATGGGCAAACTTCATTGCTAAATCAGCACATTTTTTTGTGAGCTTCATGTCCGCGATCAAAGTCTAATCAACCATCTTCGTTATTTTTTCTTAGGCGATGTAACGTCAGCAGTGACGCGTTAAAAAAATCGCCTAATGCGATGGTGTTAAATGCAACATTCCAATTTTGTTGAAATTATGGAATTGTATAGTCCAAGCAAGTACAATAAACGCTTCTTAAGGCAGTTTGTGCGATGGTTGGAATCTGTGCTATTTGAAATATTTGAGGTCAAATGTGTGTAATTTGGTACGCAACGGAATATTTCCGATAATTAGCTGGTAGCATATGGCTTGTGCTGCATGGCAATTCTCGGAATCAAGAATTTCATTTCCTTGATTTCATTCTACTTTAATCCCGGTATTCACACAAGAGAATAAATCGAATTCTTACCTCAGCTCTCCCATCATGAAGGCACATCGGCATGATTTTTGCATTACCTGAAATTCGTACACGTAAAAAAATACATAAGTTTTGTAATGATTATTTTCATATGTACATGAAGTACTTATTTACGTATCTGACAATACGTAGTATGAACAACCGGTGAGATTAATAATTATTTAATTTTATCAATGACAAATTAAAAATGTGAACATACCTCAGCCCTTGTGAATCCGGATATTTTGCAAAACGATTCGTTACAGTAAACTATTGGATAATCCACTATTTGAGCATTGGCGAGTAGAAAGCCGGATCTGCTATCCGGATCTGTAAATAGTAAAATAATTGTTTTTAGTATTTATGAGTACAGATATTTTAGTGTTTTTATTTATAAATCAAATAAACTGACAAATTTTATTGTGAGTCTTGTATGCATATTTACATAATATGTATAAGTATGATAATTTTTTTCACTAATTATCTTGACAATGATCTCAATATCTAAGAAAAAACTTGACATTTATTATGCATTGGTACTAACTAACTGCATAAACTGTTAGCGTTGTAAATACAAACAAATTATTTATACTACCATTTACTGTAGTTCAATCAATCAATCAATCAAGTAGCCAAATCATGCACCCACATTATGCTAAATACACGTACAGAAGATGTGTATACAAAGGAAACAGTGTCGTAAAAAATTTCCGCTCTTTCCCCCATAAAATTGTTTAAATGATACTCCGACTTGCGGGTGAACCATTGCGTTGAGGGCTTCATAGCACTTTATACTCGAGACGAAGTCAAGAATGTGCGAGATTCGGAAGAAAAAAGAGACCCAGAGGTTTTTAAAGACGTGCGTAAAGTTCATGTCTAACATTTCCAGGTCCGCCTACGTCCACTACGATTACGGAAGCGAGGCGCTGGAGGGAAGAAAGGAAGAAAAACGACGAGGAGAGCAATTCATTCCTGCTGCACCTTCGTCGTCCTTCCATTCGGATGAAACCTTTCAGAGGACTTTGACGAGGCTGCAGGAGACGAAACTATTACGACGAGGAAGACGACATCAGCTTTTTTGGCCACGTCCTATCATCATCGGCGTTCGCTTTCCTCTCTCTCTTTTTCCCCTGCTCCTTGAAATGGTCGGCTGTTGGGTGAAGGACATATCCGAATTTCGAATTCTTTTACAATTGATCTCTACCGCCAACTTATAGGACATGAAGATGACTGTTGACTCGGACATTTACTGCCACTCCTGTAATAGCTCTTCTGGCTGCGAACGTGGAATGGGGAAAGAAAAAGAGTGGACAGAGTGAAAGTCATCCTAGGCCCGAGACTCATCTTGATCTATTAGAGAGTGACTGTGGTCCGCATTTTCCCGTCTCCAAAAAAGTAAATGGACGAGCACTGCATAGCTCTTTGGCTGAGAGAAAGACGGCGAGATACTTTTTGAAGAAGACGTTGTTATTATACGAACCGTGACTACCGCAGACCATACGGATTTCTAACGTCAATAAAATTGGACAAAAACGCCTCCCGAATTCGATCTCTAGGGTTGCAGACGACCAACAAATTACCCTTCAGGCTTGAGATGACTTAAGCTCTCCTTCTCCTGTCGACTTTCCGCTAACAAAGTTGGGTCACATGCAGCCCACGAGGGAAATTTTCTCACAGTTGCGTGACATCATCAAGAAGCATCATCTACTCGGCGCATGATGTTGACCTCAAGCTGGACGTTTGGATTTCCCTTCTGGTGATTACGCCGTTATATTGAGGACACAAATTGTAGATATGTACTCAAGATATTTATTGATTATTGAGTTCCTTTAGAACTCGTTCTAATTTCGTATTCCGATGGAAAGAATATAAAATTACTAGTTTAACCCAGTTTCCGAATATCAAGAAAATGTAGGCGAGTTGATGTTTTGTCGTGTTGTTGAAGGAAAGTTCGTAAATTACATATGTGTCATTTAACGTGTCAGCATTGCAATCATGCTGATTATACATGTAGCCACACTATGAATATGACGTAACATGTTAGGATGATGGATGGATTGGGTCCAAAAATAGGATAGGAAATCAGCTAAGAAAGAAAGTTTTCGATGACACACTGTCAAGTGTCAATTTATTTTCCTCTACTGCTGGAAAAGATAAGAAGTTGAGGCGTTGCAGACGGACAGGATGTTCTCACTGCGAAACAAATGGCTGGAGTGTGTGTGGTCCCCCAACATCCCGACTGCACGCAATACTTTTTCAGATGATGTGTAGGTTGTTTTTCACATGAATCAGTGAAAGTGGAAATGTATCTTGTTCGTGGGCAATGATAGAAAGCCAGGCAGAACTCGGGTACTGCATGGACTTAACACTTCTGCTTTCACTTTTTCTAGACTTTCACTTTAGAGTCTCTCCACTCCCACTCCTTTACAATTCTAAAGATGAAAGCTAAGAAATACCTAAATTAAAAAACAGATGTTTGATTCTCACTGCAACTTAATACATAGTCAAGAATACTTGTATTTCAAAATACAACTCACTGGAAGTAATCGATTGCACAAATTGTTTACGAATATGTTTGAAATCAACAAACAAAGTCATTTGCTTGTAGAAAAGGAAGCATTAGGACTTTTACGAATAAAAGTATTTAGTGCTCAAAATACCTTAATAAAGAGTAATAAGTCTTATCGATTCGAGTATCGATTCATTGCTTCAATTTATGTTTTAACCTCGGAAAATTATAAATATTCCATATTTAGCTTGAATTTTGTTAACATTTTAATGTAGAATTTAAATGCTTTCAAGCTGGATTTAGGCATGAAGAGTAATTTATGGTTCCTTGTCAATAAATTATTTCCCTTGCGGTGGCTACATTTTGATTATTTTTTCTACATAAATATGTGTTTGTATGTATATCGTTCACGACATTGATGTATGCACAATTATGGACTTTATAGACTTATTGGTTCAAAAACTAACTTGGCATTGCGTATATGTAATTATTTAATCTAATCCAGGCAGTCGATTTTCATGGTTTGATTGACAATGACTATGATAATGCTGGCCAAAAGCCCTGGTCGCATTTTGTGTCAGGTTTTACAAATAATAAACAAGAATCCCAGAGTCAGGTCAGCTTATAACCATGACTAACCTTACCTTATGAGCTTGAGTGATTGAGAGTAAACGTCTTTTAAACGGATGCTTGGAGGGAAAGTCAAGCAATGCACAAATTAAGCTCCCAATGTCTAACGAGCGACATGATAATCCCATTAGAACCACAAGAAACATTTTATTGGCTTTCACTCCGGTCTACCTCTGACTTCTGCATGTACAGATCCGTGAACACATTCACTGGTCGACATTGTTTCATAACGAACGGTATAAGTGAGCAATACTGAAATCTATCATGGATTAGAAATGGCATGTAATTTTCAAACAATGATTTCCCTCATTGTGCGTAAGCAATAAATCTGTTGCTCCATAGTTGATGGCGAATCCTCTCTAATTTGTATGAGGCTTACAGTGTGGATAGTCGCAAATGTATGTAAGTAGTAAACTTTCAATTACGTCAGATACGCAGCCACATCAGCATTCGTGAAAAAATATTCACGAAATCCACATTTTCGAACAACTAGCAGGAATAAAGTTCATTAAAAGTTGAACTTGAATGAGCCCAGGGTAGAAAAAATTCAGCGATACTTTCATATAAAACACTTTTCTACTTTAAAATTCCAAAAGCAGAAGCACATCTTTCCAGAAGATTCTCCAAACACAAAACGCAAGTCAGAACTCATTTTCTTTCTAGTAATATGCCCTCTGTTTCCAGATGAACTTTGAAATAATTCAGAAATCTGGGATGAGTTGTTCATGTAACTGACGGCATCCTAATGAGCTCTATTCCGGTGTATTTCAATTTGAGAAAGCTGCGGGTGATCCAGCAGAATCTCTCGTGGGATTTAAAATAACGTCGAAAAGCAACATTGTCTGAAAAATTATTTCAGCGTATGTAGATATCTGTGTGTGCTCTCATACGTGCACACACACACAACGAGGTAAAAAACAAAAGTCCCAGATTTACTCGGTTCATGCATGCATATTCGCATTTGCTCATCTCAGTTATCAAGTTTTAATTGTATGCGTACTTATTATGATTATGACTGAGATGAGTATAAACTCTGGATATTTGATAACAATAAAAGTTGGTAATGAGAAGGAGAACCCGCATAGCTTTGCAGCCAATAAGTCCTCTTCGAAGAGAGACAAGCCAGTCATCAACAGTAAATCTCTGGAAATCAAATAATCCCTTCTCAGGGACGCTGCTGCGTTTTATCGCGAGGGTGTGTGAAAACGGAACCATGTCCGGTTGGTTCATGTGCATTAAACGGCAGTCTCGGATTAAGTCTACCTGGAAACAAGTGGTGCCGTTGATGCCACCCTTTAACACGAAGACTTTCGCCAAGAGGCTGATGAGTACGTAGGCAGCTTTTTATATTACAAGATCTTGTGGTTATTTGCAACCTGAGATTCATCTCGTCTATCTTGCAGAAACCACATTCCAAGTCCTAAAGTCTCACGGGTATTATACTTAACAAATCAATAAGCATCCTGCTTTAAAAGAAAGCTGTACGAGGCATTCTACCGAAAATTCAAAAACACACAGTCAAATCAGTTTAATTTTCAGTTAAAGTTTAGACACACCATTTGCATTATTTTCAGTCATTTTTGTGCATGACAGGGGAAACTCGTCCCATTAACTAAGTACATCTGCCATTGCCTAATCATCAGACCTCTATAATGCCCCAGAAAGAGATGGTTCACCCAATCAGTGAAATCTTTAAAGACAGGGAACAAATTGAAAACTAGGTCACGGGTAAGGAATCGTTCATCGACAGGGAAACGCGAATTTTATGTTCTCATTTCCGGAACACAGAGCCAGCCGTTATCAGCCGTTGCCAGCAGCGATGAAGTTTGAGCAAACGATATGTCCAAAACTTGTGGCTCCTTATCTCTCGTCTTGAACATGCAGGATATTAGAAAAACCAATGCCACCAGCAATCACAAACTACAACACAACAACTTCTGAGAACGCTGTGTGTGCTGGAAGGAAGAAACGTATTTCATCCTTTCAAAGTTTTTCTGCCCAAACTCGATCGTAGATACAGCTCGATTTTTATCTTAAATAATGTCAATCTTCCTTCACATGAAACGTAAACTTTGCGAACTCGACGACAACTGAAGAGAGGGAGAAAGAAGAATAATGTGTGTTTAATTGTTGATCAAGGAATGAGGACCGAAATTGGAAAAATCATCAGCCGGATGTTATACATCTCTTG